AAGAGTCGCACACTTACGCAACCCCGGTACCCAAAATTATTGCTAGGCACCTACAGATACAGCTTTATTCCGACATTCGTTCCACCGATGTTTCACGCACATTGCACGTCGTTTTACATCGTTACAAAATGGAAGCGACGCCATTCCGTCACTCGTTTATGCCGGAAGACCTTAAGGTCGATAAAATTGTAATAAAATGATATTGTTACAGGGTTTTCTTTCATACGAATATTTCATTTTGTATGTCCACAAGGCCACAAGCTGAACCACCTTTCCAAACTCCTAGTTATATCGCGCGAATATTATCAATAGAGAGACACGACCGTGTCCGTGTTGTCTGTCTTGAGGAGATCCTGTGAACGGACTGATTAAGTCATTCGCCAAGCTTGATATAGGCCCATAACAGAGGATTGGGTAACAGGATGTCAATTTACCGACAGTCGTACACTTTCGCACGAGTATTGCCCCGAACGTTGTTGAATATGCCTCGGTTAAGTTCTGAAAAAGTACACCATTCGGAGGTCGTAACAGGATGCTTTCACGATTAGCAATGGGTGGAGTTAGTACAACACAAATTTTTGGTTCTGCTTAATTCACAGACAACAATAGGCTTCTCAGTTCTTCTGACAGTAGTCGTACCTATTACAGCAACAACTGACACTTTCGGCCAAAATGCTAAGCAGGTACTAACATCCACGGGTTTCTCTGCACGATTTTGATCCTGCATACGTGCGCTCAGTGATGCAGCTAAAGAATACCGCAACTGAAAGAATGCGGCGATAAGTGCTGTTGTACGTGATGATGTAAGCATGCTTAAAACACTACATCACTTCTGCGTATCATACGTACGGAGGTGCACCTGGAGCAACCGTCACGAGACTTGAGCCGTTTGTCGTCCATGGCAAATGCTGAGGTTACAAGCAAAGCACACTAATGGTAAAGCTAGGGACCAGTCATAGCGTGATAACTGATGCATTCAAACAAAATCCTTTAACATGTATTTCGGGTGAGTGACAAGAAAAATACACACTTTTCGCACAGTGAATTATTATCAAAAGCATGTGCATTCAACAAAGTGTATTTTTATCGACCGCCCGAATTTAGTACCAAATCGGGCACCTGAGCGCGCGTAGGTTTTTGCAGGGTAGCCTTAATAGGACCGCGTTGTGCAAGCAGGACAGTAAACTAATCTTTTTCTCTGTATTCCCGTGTCGAATATGACTAACGTAGTATAACATGCTGCCATAGTTCCAAAAACTCATGATACCATAGAGTACAAGCAGTACAAGCTTAAGAATCGACCAGCAATTCGGGTGGCAGAGTCAAAAATAAACTATAGCTTTACCTACCCAAACATTTACAACTGCTTCAAAGACTCATGGATTTCCTTGTCTGTATTCCTGTCGCCACCTGAAGCAAATGCTAATAAAATGGTAAACAGTATCCCTTAACCTATGCATTATGTCGTATAATTGGAGCGTCAAACTTATGAAGCTCGCAGGTTGTACTAGAATTATCTCGGCGTTAGAACGTTTTACTTAACCATGCGATTTCCCAAGCTAATGTGCAGCTCTCGTTGCGATCGCAAACTTACGTCTTAGAATTGATATCTTTTGAATCACTCAAGCGTAGCTACTTTTTCTGTAACCAAGAGGGGACCGCTCTTCTCGGCTGTAGCGCAAATGACCTGACGGCAAACAGTAGAGGAGATTACCAGCTGTGGTACTGAAAATGGACTTATGTTTCAACCTGAGACAATAAATCGCATGAGTTTTCTGCATGGTGTATCAAGAAACTTCCTATCAAGGCATGAGGGTGGGATAAACAACTAGCAGTCCGACCGTCCAAGACTTGAAGAAGAGCCGCAGGTACGAAACAGCGGAATGTACTAACTTCCGTAGAACGCCTTTATTGGGTAGCAACGTACGAGCACGCAACCTGCGATAACTAGCTTTGAAAAGGGCCGATTTAGTTAGGTTGCATTATTTTTGGTGTTTGTTGTCCTCCCTAAATTGCTCCTCTCCATTTTATGACAGAACTTTTAGTGTAAACTCATTCTTAACTATATAAGTCGCTCCATCTTGCTATCAATCTTAGCACCGAAGGCTGATGTTACTTGTAGATTTCAGCGGACGCTACCGAAGACTGCGCGGAGATCTCATATTAGCGTACCAAATATTGAGTGACCCCAACTACCTATGCCGCCATTTGCTGCAACTTAGCCATTACACGCAGCTCAATGGTAACTGCTTGAAATCGAGGGAACAACATAGCCGTCTAGAGTGACGACGGAATCAGTTTTCGCTTCAGGTTTACCAACCCTGGAACGTACTCCCAGACTCAGTTCTATCCTCCCCTACTTTGGACATTTAAAAAAGTGATGGAATATCGCTTTTAGCTCTCAGCACTTTGTTATCTAAACCACTCCATTTTGGATTGCGCTAATCATGCCCTTCTACAGGATGTATGTGTCACATGGACCCAAGAAGGCAGCGCATAAGTGAGCGACCATATTTTACGTTTCTCACATTTTAAATCAACGATCATTGCACCTCGTGTGTGACTTTCGATTTTTATTTTACACTGTCGTTATTTATCGACGCTTCTATCCCGGTAAGTGCTCGGTAGATGACCCACATATATTCTGATTTCATCCTAGTCACCCCAACCATCCTACGGGACGTGTCAAGCACTTGTTTTTATCCCGTGATAAATTATTGCTTATTGTTCTTTAGTAGCCGCAACTTCCACGCTTTTTGTCGGCCCTCGGAGACCTATGATCGCGCAATAAGAGCGACTTCTTTAGCACAATCGCTGTATTACAGAGTACAGATGCAAATCCTGGAGTCAGTAAAGTGGATCAGAGTATCTACGGGGGACAGGTTGGTAGTTCTAAAAGCTTGGCGTATAGTGGCCTCAGAGAATTGGACGCCTCGTCAGCTCTTTGTACCCTGTCTTCTGTATTGGTAATTGGGGGACGCCATGCCTTAGTTTAAGCAGGTTGTTGACATGCTTGTACAGTAGTTTGTTGTTGACTTGAAACTTTATGATTAGGCACTGTTGTTATGTAACTTTGTCCTAACGTACTAGCGGTGATTCTGGAAGTTCCCGTAGGTTTCGGGATGTGAATTAACCTTTTAGGCAAGCCAAGCTGCATCCTTTATTTTCATACATTGTCGAGTCCTGCTTCTGGGAATTGAAAGCACTTTACGGAACCAAGTAGCTTGGTTTTCGACGCTCGTTGGATCTTTCAATGAACTCAGTCCAAACGATTTCAAGGGGATTGTTGTTTGAGATTTCACAAGTGAACGCCACGACGAGTTCTTTCAGAACGCGGTAAAGTGTGATTGTATGAATTAATTTTGAGTGCTCAGCTTGATACTCTGCATATCATACAGAATACATGAATTCTACATCAGTGATCTGTCAGTCATGAGCTCTTCATTTGTGAGCATCAGGCTCAGTAAGGCGGTTTGCTTACTACCCGGAATCCTGTAGGCAAGATGATATGGTCGTACAATAAAATATAAACGAGAACCTTACGAAAGCCGGCTCTTAACTATTCATTTAAAGATGCTGATAACTCCAGATAGCATATATTGAAGTCACCGTCAACGAGAATGCAGCTGTACCTAGGACATTTTACTCTGCAGGAATCCGCTTCCGGTTGGTTAAGGTGGGATTAGAAACGACAGCTACGAGGCATACGTGGTTGCCTTCTAATCGGAGACCAAGCCAGAGCAAACCGGTGACCCTAGTTTTTGGATCATCCACTGTTGCACATGGTAGATCGCTGCCACACCACACCTACTGGGACGGTCGTTTCGGTTGAGTAAAATTCACGTTATCTGGACCACAGCATTAGCAGCTTCTTGGGGCAATCAGGTTTCAGTAAGGGAAATAGGGTGTTGCCCATGTGGCAAGTTTACAGAGGAGCTAATGCTTGGCGGCATTTGGTTTTAGAATGGCCTATCACTGTGGCCAGCCACAGGACGCCTGCACCTACATAGGGACCATGGATGGCTTGCGTTGCACCACTCACAGCTCCATCCACACACCCCATATCCAGTTTAAATCCGAAGGAATAAAACCAGGAGGCATGTGGATGGGAGCCACGTTTCATCAACGGAGACGGCCCACATTCCTTCACAGGAAAACACAAGCACGCTGTATTTGGAGAATCAAACGCACACAAGGCATTAGGCTGGACCGTAGTCCGCTCCACACTGAGTGCATGGAACCACTCTTTGAGCCTAGCACGGCCACATGGACCGTGCACCCCGTCCCCTCCAGCAACGACCAACTGTCTCCTGGAGCCAGTATGGACAAGTTAGTGGGTAATAGACAGGTAGGCACTTTGTCAACATGCACATTAAGCGCAGTCACACCTGGAATATAAAACAACAGCCAATCATTCGAAACGCCGACATCCATTAAAAGATATTGAGTGAAATAAACATATATGACGACATACCTACTCGCTAAATGAGCATATGGAGTAAATTGGTTATAAGCACAACCGCTATAAGTAGAAAATGACCGAAAGTTATTTTCTGGTACGCTGAACGTAGGCGCTAGTTTACATACATCGTCTACCGGACGGTTATCATTGTGGTCGCAGATTACCACTTCACATCTATCTATGAAATCACTCGAAAATACATTAAACCATTTGCAATGTCGGACATGAAGCTCGCTCATCGACTGCCAAAAATATGCAAACAAACATGGTGCTCACCAAACCTCACAAAATCGGGATAGACGGCTTTACATGTCTTTATCGTGAATAATCTGGTGAGCCTACAGATGCGCGATTTATTTTCTAGCACTTTCTTTCATACCTATACATTTCACGCAAGCAATCACACGAGACTTTTCAGGACTTGACTTCTTCTACCCCTATTATGCCACTATTTCACTGTTCCAAATATTTAGACCTCCATTGGGAAACAAAAGTTCGACATGTTGAATCAGTGTAGTGAAAGAAGATAAGAATAGTGTGTGGAGCAGAATTTTGTATTGCGTGCAAAATACACAGCTGGGACCTGAGTCTTCAACACCATCCTTTTGCCATGCGAGTGGTGATTTCCGACGCATTAAATGCACCAGAGAGCCGATATCTGCAAATGAATAAATTGCACTGCATTAGTCCAAATACCATAAAACGGTATTCTCGTAAAAGTGTTAAGTAAGCTTAACGTTGCGCCAGCTGAGTAATGCCTGTGCACAAAAGGACAGCACTAATGTGGCTTCCACGTCAAAACATGCGGTTTTCTACTATGTAGTGCTTAAGACGTTAGGACTCAACACCTCAAGTATGCGACTAAACGAGTGCAAGTTGGATAAGCAGACGTCATCAATTCGTATGTAGGGATAGTACTTGCAGTGGAATTTCCCGTTCCCTTGCAGTGTGTATCTCGCCTTATCCAGTATCGATGGCGCCACAAAGTGCACGGAAAGTCCCAAGTCCTTGCGATGCATAAAACGTTAATTGACTTTCTTACGCTCGGTGAGGTGCAAAGCAAAGACATCGTGCACCAAATGCGACCATGACGTTTGGACATTTAATAGGTTTATCCAAGGGTTATCCACGGGGTCCTATGATAGAGTGGACGTGTTGTCCTGAGACCCCATAAAGGAAGGCAACAGGAACCAACTAGACCAAATGTTTCGAATTTGGCTGCGCTAACAAGCGAGCACCCTGTTGCTTCAGGTAAACAAGGTGAAACGAATAGGTGCCTACTTCTTATTGTAATTAAACCAGTTTTCCAACTCCATCAAGCACGTTAATAGCCTACGAAAGGTGAGGCAAGGATTTCCTCCACTCAAGACGGCTGATGGCCCAACAAGAACGTCTATGGAAGCTGCAAACGCGCTGCAAATGCAATACGCCCCCACGTTTCAAAGGGTCTTGCCACCAAGCGATCTACCAAGCTTCATATTCTGCTCACCAGGACTAACCCACATCAATTTTACCGCAGAGGCTGTATTGCAAAAGCTGACTTCTCTACGCAAACACAGCTCGCCGGGTGTCGACGCCATTCGTCCTGAGGCATTGGGAGCAGCAGCAAACCAACTGGCAGGACATTTAGCTCAGTTTTTTCAGCACTGCTTAGACCAGAACCAAGTTCTCGCCATGTGGAAGCTTGGAATAATAAGCCCGATTCACAAAGGTGGAAGCAGAACTGATCCCTCCAACTACCGCTCAGTAACCCTTCTTCCTATACTCTCCAAGGTCATGGAATCCATAGTTGCCGATGCACTGGTGTGCTATCTGGAAAACTGCAACCTCATCACTCCTGAACAGCACGATTTCCGTCGACAGCGGTCATGTACAACTAATTTACTAGTTGCACGCAGTAGTTGGACCGAGGCAGCCGACGCTGGAGAAGGTGTTGATGTGATCTACCTGGATTTTTCCAAGGCTTTCGATCGCCTAGACCATCGGATACTACTATCCAAGCTGCAGCATTACGGGATCGGCGACCCTCTTTTAAGCTGGATCGCCAACTTTCTATTTCGAAGGCAATTAGTGGTCAGAGTTCTTTATCGGACCCCATACAAGTGGAGTGTGGTGTGCCGCAAAGCTCAGTTCTAGGTCCACGTTTGCTTTTGGTGTTCATTAATGACCTTGCACAGGGAATCGCTTCAAACTTTCTAATGTTTGCCGACGATAACAAGATCTGGCGCAGGATCCAGGCGAACGCCGACCAACATGTGCTTCAAAGTGACTTAGATACAGTGTATCAATGGTCGATCCAAAAGTTGTTGCATTTCAACGTCAGTAAATGCAAGGTGCTTTCCATCCGACATCAAAGCAGCTACTCATACCGACTCGGAACGGATGTACTGCAACAATCAACTCTCGAACGTGACTTGGGTGTCCTGGTTCAAGATGACTTGGGTTGCTCCAGGCAATCCGAAAAGGCCTCCAAGACCGGGAACCAACACGTTGGGCTGTTGAGGCGGGCGTTTGGACAAATAAACTCCTCCATATTTCGACAAATGCTCAGTGCGTATGTTCGCCCCCATGTCGAATATGCAATTCAAGCCTGGCATCCATGGCTGAAACACGACCTTAATGCACTGGAGCAGCCACAACGCCGGCATCTAAGAACGTCATTGGAATGCGCAATCGGTCCTACCAGGAGAGGCTGCGACGACTAGGATTGTTCAGTGGCAGCTATCGCAGGCTACGAGGCGACCTGATTATGACATACTTGATTCTGCGAGACCCACATCATGTGTGCCGCCCTTTACTGCAACTCAGCAGCAATACAAACCTGAGGGGCCACTCATTAAAACTCGCAGAACAATACAGTCGTCTGGAGTGCCGCAGAAATTTCTTTTCCATCCGTGTCTGTCATCCGTGGAATGCTCTCCCAGAATCGGTCGTCTCTGCACCGACACTAACAATATTTAAAAGACGGTTGGACGATGCACTCATCCACTTACACTTTGTTACTTAACACTACGTCTCCATCCTACACCTGGAGTTTACCCTGGAATTATTTGTTGTTAACTGTGGGTGTTGTGAATCTAAGTGGATCGCATGACTGAAGCGAAGCAAACGATAAGTCCTTATTTTCGTATTTTAAGTATTAACTATTTTACTATCCTCTTCATCATAATTGTTATGTTGATATCCCCACCAACTATCCAACGGGGCTTGTAAAGCAACGCTTCTTAACCCGTATAAATTCATTGTTCATTGTTCATCACACCTGGCTTAGTAGACTGCGGAATTTTGTGGGCTCCTTTCGACCTAAGACAACCGAGACACCTAGGGTGCTGCCCGTTTGTGTGTTAGAACATAGCTAGTAGATGTATGTCTTTCGTGTCATCCTTATAGTGGCAAACCAAACACATTCAAGTGTATGTAGCTATATATTGACGCGTGTAGAACGAATTTGCGACTACCCAAGCCTCACCACTGTCAAATGCCTACTTCTACGTTGGGCAGCCTCATCGCCCGGCTTGGATCATTCGTGGCCCGCCCCTTGTCCATTTTCTGTTCCAACGCTATCCACCATGACTCGCCTGCTGTGTAACTCAGCATCCGATTTTCAGTTCATCCACCTCCTATCTCGTTTGCACTCCTATGCACAAGTATCCCTATGTGCAGCCATATTGACATGGGACTGTTCCCCCGATCTGATCGATTTATGTGATTCTCAGAGCATCTACAGCTAGTGTATCAGACCTTGTCGCGGCACGTTTTCATTGGCGGACGTATACCTATTACTATTGGCTCATTGGATTCTTACCATAGGCCCTATGTGTTTTACCTTGATTTCTTTGTTTTCTCGCACGCCTGAACTCATGGGTCGTTCGTGGATCTGGGCACAAATTGTTGGTATATGTTCGAGTTTGGAAATCGTTGAGATAATGTCATCTGATACGACGAATTTGTGCAAATGGTACCGTTATCTCACGTCCGGACTTGGTATTTTGTTGAATATTCCTATGGGATATACGTGGCTAAAACTTCCAAACGCTTTGTTGTTTATAACGCCAAGGATGAAATAGAGGGAGTAATGCGTGAACGGAATGTCCTATGACTGCAACTACTGGAGACTAACAAACGGTAGATTCGAGTATAATCGGACTAATATCATTCACCTCAGAAATGCAATGAAAGCGGGTTATGGCAATTTTTACTAGGAGTTCTATCGTGGATCATCAATTAAAGGGGGTGATACATGGCAAATGTATCTTGTAGCGCCCTAAAAGATAACTGCTATCTTTCGTGTACAATTTAATTGTTGACTGATTGTACATTACTCCTTCTTGTTTTAATCTTACAACCGGCTCGACACACAACTACCTTGTAAGTTCCCGCGCTCACGTGTACGCTCTCGCCTCGCTTCATCCGTCCGCTTCTTATTGTAGCCCCATCGAATACAATCCGCTGTGTCCGACTCCCATTGCCTTCTGATATCCGCGCTTACTTTCGCGCACCGTCTCGGACTAGTATTAACTAGTCCTACAAATTGGTGACCCCGATTCGCACGCGCGAATTCCACGTTTTTTTCTCGTTTGTATTTTTTGGTGAGTTCGTTCGTTTTTCTCGAGTATTTACCTATATTCATTTGTTTCTTACGTAATTTTAGTACTTTTATCCTATCTTGTTCATTATTTATCTTTCGACGCACATTTCGAGAGTTGCATCTGAGTGGTTTCACAGCGTAACCATGCTTACTTTGGCTGTTCCAAGTTTCATGGAACACAGTCCAGAAGTTTGGTTTAAGATATTCGAGATTAATCTAGAAAATAAGGGCATAACGGCGGACCGTCCGAGGTACAATCCGCTCGTCCCACGCCTTCCTCCGTCAGTTGTGACGCTGATTCAGGACATTCTACTCTGCCCATCGAATGAGGCAAAGTATGAAACGATGAAGCAAGCGATTTTGAAAGAGTTACGGCCCAGTGCACGAACTCCATTTGAGCATCTCAATGGTCTCAAGCTTGGAGATCGCAAGCCGTCGGCATTGCTCCGCGAAATTCAGCACATCGCTGGTCCCTTATTCTTGAGCGAAGAAGGGATAAAGGAGCTGTGGTTTGCACATCTCCCAGTGCCATTGCCGGTAATGCTGTCCATGTTTATAGATGCACCCCTGAAAGACTTAGCTACCAAGGCAGACGCTGCGTTCGAACGTTTTCCTCAGCAGACGACCAGTAACTCCGGTGACGTATTCTCACCGATGAAAACCGAATCTCCTGTTTGTTCCCAGTCGGTAGACCGACCTGACTCTAAAGACGAGGAAATTGCGCTACTTTGCAGCAGGATAGCAGCAATGAAGGCTTCAAAGCAGCGTGTGCCACGGTCAAATGCTGACCACGTTTGGCTACCGTTCACTGCGGCTCGTCTGTGCCTGCACCGAGTACGTCACGTTCGGCACGAAAGCGCAACATTTTTCCTGCACGTTCTCAGTCAGATAATGTCAAATCCGCCGAAGAAGTATGTTGGTATCACCGCCAAACGGTGGAAGAGCTAGACGTTGTCGGGCTCCCTGCATTAGGCACGACCCAGGGAAAACGAATAGCCCGCATACTAGCACTACAAACGTATCATTCAATAACCAAGCAAACCGACTGTTTTACGTTAAGGATCGACGTT